GTTTAGGGTCAAGGCTAAGGTTCTGTATGGTTGTAGCATAAGAAAAGGAGTCTGGAAAATGGTTATCCAGAAAACGCCATCAATCAAATTACTTCAAGGAAAAAAGAAACACAATGAAGAGGAATAAACATGAAATTAAACATAGATAGATACCTCAGATGTTTTAATTTTCTAGACTTCAAATCATACACGTATAACTGGTTCATTTTGTCAACCATAAGAACGGCACGGTTTTTATGTTGGTATTTGCTAGTAATGAATGATCAGTCAAAATATAATCAGGAAAACTTTTTCGATTTTGGGAGCTTTTTTTTTGAGTTGGGTCGTAAGATTATTTTACTGCCCTATGCTACAATACATTCACAGTAACATTAAATCGTGGCCATTCTTCTATGCTTTATGTACGGGGCATTGTTTAAAAACACGTATACACAAATTACATAAGTAATCGTAAGTTCAGCCTCTGTTTCTTCATTAAATAATACGGTTAATTAGTTGTCAATGGTATTCACTTACACGTGCACGTACAGTTACTAATCAACACAACAACACACCACTCGTTACACAAATGCGTCAATGGTGTTCACTCACACGCGCACGTACAGTTACTAATCAATACAGCAATACACCACTCGTTACACAAATGCCAATCAGCTGTTAGAATTTCTCTGTGCACTATACATGAGCATATTGATTCTACCTGGTATGTGAGACTAAAATATATACTGGTACGCGGGTATTTAAGGTAACGCTTTTATATTACTATTTGTTAATTGTTAGGCATTATCATACACGTGGGTCTACCTATGCTCTGCCCACGCGGCATCGAAACCCGATTGTTAGCATTATAAACCCTCAGACTTACTGCTTAACCACTGGAAGCTTTTTATTATTATTAGATGTTTTTGAGCATTACTGTATCAATATTCACAGTATTCCAACGTTAACCTCCAATAATTGTGTTTGTTATGAAATGTATTTAGCTTTGAATAGTACGTTTTCATCTGTTTTAGTAATAAAAACTACTTTTGTCCCAGTCAACAAAATTTGTATATAGCATGTATTTTTACACTTTTCAAATTTTACAATAAACAAAACGAGGATTCCTGGCTTTATTTTGAAACAAACCTTGCTTGTTTAATGTCAGACATAAGGAAGTGTTAGTCCTATATTTATTTATTTTTCTGTCTAAGCATCATAATGACTGAATAATTTGAACTGTATTTATGAACCATGTAAAACTAAGATTACCTTTTATGCTAATTTAGAAATGCTTTGCGGTGTAGTCTGAAGTTCAAACTAGTAACAGTAGAATAACTAAACATTTATAACCTTTATGAGGGTTATTTAACTGTTTCAAGCTACAAAAGCCAAAACAAATTCGCTTAGTACCAAAAATACTTAACAGAACTGCATTTTTTTACTTTCAGAAAATTTTTCTTTTTATTCGTGAAAGTGTTGGGAAACTTATATTAAACATATATAGCGTAATGCTTGGAAAAGTTTATTGAATTAAAACTAATACTAATATTCTTATTAAATATAAGAGACCCACGGTGACTCAGTGGTAAGCCTGAGGACTTATAGCACTAAAAACCGGGGTTCAATCAGCGTTGTGAGCGCAGTAGACAGCCCATTGAGTAGATTTGTGCTTAATAACAAACAAATACATCAATTTTGAGCAGGCCATCCATAATACTTTGTTTGAATATTAACGTTACTAATGTTTTTGTTTTTTCTTGTAGTAGTCACTGAAGACTGCCTTACACCTTTTACCTTACTAACACATTATTTTGTACTTTTTAACGCTTGACAGGGTTCTTCATTTTTAGCATCCTTGAAGGCAGTGTTTGAATGTGTGTGTATTCTTTTTTCCGTTATTGTATTCAGATTCCTTATTTAAACCCCATTTTTTCATTCTTATAGGTTGTATTTGAACCATTTTTTAGATTATTATGGGCAATATTTAAGCCTTTTTAATCTTTTTGAGCCTTTTTTAGTTTTCTAGTCAAAAATTATAACGTATTTTTATTTTGGTGTTACATATATATTCATGTAACACTAATTTCACATTTTGATGTAAGAAGTTAGAAAAACTCACGAGATTTAATTTGAGTAGATAATGAATTCAATGCGTTAAGTTTAATAGGTTTGAACTGTCCCTTGATGGGTCAGTGGTAAGTTTGTTTGTTTGTTTAGCAGGAGTATCGAAACCCGGTTTCTAGCATTATATGTCCGTAGACTTAACGTTGTGCCACTAACGGGAAAGCAGGTCAGTAGTAAGTTTACTGACATACCACGCTAAAACCCGTGGTATGTTATGGTATGGTAAAACCCGATTTCCTTCGCTGGACAGAGTGTAGCTTTAGGTTAAAACAGTAACACAACACATAACACATGTTCTATATTACACTCGTATCGCAAATTAGTGTAAGATTTGTGTAAACAATCTATTCAAAGTATATATTCAAATTCTATTGCTTTTCGAAAACATCTTCAGTCACCATGTACATGTATTATTCAGAAGATTTTGACTGAAAAGAAATACATCTACTGAAATATTCAAGGGTTTAAAGCCTTTTTTTTAGTACAAAGAAAGTTTACCAACGTCCCAGCAGTTCGACTTGATATCTTTTATAAGTGCAAAATCTCCTTTTTCTTGATAATATCCTCCAAAAAACATTTAGAGACTTGTGTTAAAGTTGTATAAAATAACATGATACAAATTTTAAAATCTTCCAAGCAATGTCACAATAATCTTCTCCAAAAATAATTATAAGTCCTAAAGGATCTTAAATCTAACATCAATATTTTGATAAAGCCAAAGGACAAGGGTTGGGGCTATTGTTATTATTAACAAAAAACGTTATATCACTGAAGCTAACCGCCAAACTGAGGCCACTCATTTCTACAAGAAATTCGCACAGAACCTTATAGCTCAGTTTACTAAATCCATCTGTGAAAAAGTTAAACAACTCTTCCAAAACCCGAAAATTAACAAGGAAAACTTCCAGTAATTGACATCTAAGCAGGCTTGTCCGGGTAGGTTTTATCTCTTACCTAAAATACATAAGCCTAATAATCCTGGCCGACCCATAATTTCTAACAAAGGTTTTTACTTTTGTTGACCACCATATAAGATGTATTCCCTGTGCTCTCCTTTCTTACATAAAGGACACGACTCACGTTATAAATATCACAGAGGAAATCAATAACAACGGACATTTACCTCGTAACAGCCTTCTGTGTACAATGAATGTATCTTTCCTTTACAGTATAATATTTCCCACGATGAAGGACTAGAACTTCCAAAACCATTTCTAAGATTTTTAAATCGACTCTAACCAGTCTTTTTTTCTCCTGGAATAATTTCAACTCAACAACGAACTTATTTTCAGATTAATAGTACCATAATGGGTACCAAGAGGGCTCCTACTATGCCAACATAGTTATTGACCATACTGAAAGACAACTCTTACAAAAAAAGCCCTGTATAACCTGATACTTGGAAACGCTACAGAGATGACATTTTTTTTAGTCGGTTCTAAATTACTTAAATACTTTGATTTTTGTCTTATGCTAAAATCTTTCACAAAACAATCAAGTTAACCTTCATTACTCCCTCTACCCAAATTAATTTTCTTGACGTCACTCTCTCTTTAAATGATGGCCTTTTACACGTTAACTTATATAGAAAATACGCTGACACACCACATTATCTTCACATTTAAAACTACCACTCTACGCACACGAAACTGAATATTAGCACCAGCCGAGCGCTCCGAATCGAGAAAATCTGCACCGATGAAAAAATTACAGAAAATACACCAAGTATGTAAAACAAGCCATGCTACAAAGAGAATTTAAATAAATTGATAGATTTAGAAAGCTAACGACTCTCAACAAAAAAATACATCCTTAAACAATCAAACAGAATTCCCCTTTCTATTACTTATCACTTTAAACTTAGAAACGTTTCGCATATTCTGAAAAACCATTCCATTTACTACCGCTGAACGATCGCCTAGGACACATTTTTTCTCAAGTTCCCGTCTTCTCTTCCACAAAATTAAAAATCTTAAAGATAGCCTTGTTCTTGCAAGAAGTGAGCTAAAACTCCCCCTAGAAATGGTTGTCATCCGTATAATAAACTTCGTTGTCTAGCCTGCAAGTTCATAAAAACTACTGACTCTTTTCCCGACAAATATATTAAAAACACTTTAAAACTTACAAAAGAAATTACATGCACCACACACAAGATCACTTATCTCAAACAGTGTGAAAAAACAAATGCAATCACCAGCATGAAGAACAAATCCAAACAACGCTTAGAGAGTGTTTCAATTCAGCATGAAGAACAAATCCAAACAACGCTTAGAGTGTTTCAATGACCCTTAAAGTTACTATTCCCACCAAAAAAGCTTCCCTGTCACCCAAAACTTCTAATTTATCCTTTCCTATCGTATTACACAATGGAAACTATTCGCACCTGCAACATTCCTTACGTCTCGTTTCCTGTCGTATTGCACAAAGGAAATTATTCACACCTGCAACATTCCTAACTTCTCGTTTCCTGTCGTATTGCACAAAGGAAATTATTCACACCTGCAACATTCCTTACTTCTCGTTTCCTGTCGTAATGCACAAAGGAAATTATTCACACCTGCAACATTCCTAACTTCTCGTTTCCTGTCGTATTGCACAAAGGAAATTATTCACACCTGCAACATTCCTAACTTCTCGTTTCCTGTCGTATTGCACAAAGGACATTATTCACATCTGCAGCATTCCTTAGAAAGCTAAAGCTTCCGGGTTGTTATGGTAAAACAATGAGATACGATACTGTTTGTTATTGTTTTTGTTGTTTTTTTTTGGGGGGGGTGAGGGGTAATTAATTACGACTATATAAGTTTAACCTCAATATTCATTACTTATAATAAATTCAACCAATAGTATAAGCTTTTAAAGACCCTTCCATTTTGAGCATTTCATCTGTCCTAACATTCTGAGGCTTTAGCTCCACTGCATAAGTAGAACACTGTGAACAAGAGATATTTTCAACGATTTGCGTTTTAGAGCAAAAGGCTATTTGGTCTCAGAAATACAGCTTAGAAATACGTACTTGATTTTTGGTTAGTTTATTTCGCTAAAGAGATGTGAATTTCTACAGTATCTTGTTATAAACTTATAAATGCACAGTGATTTCATACTCATATATGTTCCTGTACTCACAAACAATGAACTGGAAGAAAAGTTGATTTGCTTGTTTAATTCTGCGCAAAGCTACTCGACGGTTATCTGAAATGGACGTCTTTAATTTTGAACTGATAGACTAGAGGAGAGGTAGTTAGTCGACACAACCCATCACAAACTTTTTTGCTTCTATTTACCAACGAATATTGGGATTGACCATCACCTTATATTATACAGTGTCACTGTATAAATATATATAAAAAAAGATCAAAATTTGATTTGAAAAAGATCATAAGTTAAAGTCAATGATCATTTTAGCATAAATTATTGCTTAAGTTGACAATGTTTTTTTTTGCATTTTAGTCGTTTTTGTTACGCCCTCGGTATAATTGCAAAAGGGGTGTTACAATAAATTGCCCTTCAAGATTTTCTAGGAATAACAAAACGTTTCGCTATAAAGTAAACCGTAAACAGTAATACGTTTTATTAACGTATACTGGATACTGAATAAAAAAAAGGGATCGCAACATACTATACTGTGTTTTCTCGCATACCCTAAAAACAATTAACGTTTTAACCTAGATCAAGGTTAGGAGGCGTGATCTGAACTTTGAATGAGTGCCATCTAGTTCCAGATTATTCTAATTTTAACCAGTAGAAAAGTATTAGCTCTTACTGCTAGTTAATCCAGTACAGCGCGTATTTTCTTTAGCACCAACAAAACAAAAGTGAGGATTTTAATAACGTTACCCCTTGATTTAGCTATAAAAACGTTCAAAACCGGCATACTTCTACTGAGTTAGTACAATTTCAAGGTGTACATTGATCGAGTAGTCGTCGCCAATCGCTAGAAATAGAACAAAAGTAATAAAACCGATATACGAATCGTACCCCAGTGGGTCAGCGGTAATTTTACGGAGTTACAACGCTAAAATCCGGGGTTCGATTCCCCACGGTGATACGGGAGATAGTCCAACGTGGCTTTGCTCAGAAAAAAACAGATAAATCTGGCGAATCATGCCAATTGTTTCCGCATTTTTTTTTGTTATTTAGAAATTAACACTTAAAACTAGAACAAAAAAAAACAGTACAATCATTCAAAAACGCGTTTGACTTTCCAGGGCGACCTAGCTACACTACACACTAGAGCACAAACCTGAAGCCAGAAATATCTAGTGATTGCATATCTGACCCAAAAATAGGAGCCCCGCCCAATTCTTCTACATTACCGCTGCACTAGGACAGAACAAGCGGTGTACGCTGGTTTCTATAGCAACTTGCCATTGTAAATTTTATACAGTCTGCAGCCTAAAATTTGTGCGAATTTTTACCCTGTTCAAATGTACTGATAAGTTTTATAGAATTAATTTATTCTAATTTTCAGTAGGACCTGATAAGTTTAGAAGACGACAAGATACAGTGGACATGAATTTGTACTGACTTACCTTGTCGATGGTATTGTAATTATCAATTTACGTTCACTACAGATCAGGTAAGATACACTAGGTGATCATAGAAATATCGTATGTAAGCCCATTCTACTTGTTATGTAAGACAAAATAATTTACTTTAGACTACCTGCATGAATTTTGCTGGATTTGATCTTGACTGCGTTGCTGTTGTTGTGCACTTCCAAAAGAATAAGCATTTGCTAGCATCTTATTTGATTCATGGTAGCATTGTTCCTCCATGGAGAGTAATGATCATTATTATAGAAACAACATGAGACGAAACTTAGCGATTATTTTGTAGATAAAGTAGTAGAGTTGTGCTTTATTTTATTTATTTTAGTGTTTGTTTTTACTCTAAAGCACAAAGTTATATAATTGGTCATCAGTGCTGTGCCCACGACGGGTATCGAAATCCGATTTTTAGCGTTATAAGCCATTAGATGTACCGCTGAGCCACTGGAGAGGGGGGGCATCGTTATAAGCCATTAGATGTACCGCTGAGCCACTGGAGAGGGGGGGCATAATCATGCTTGTTTGCTTAATGAAATATGCTAGTTATATTGTAATATCTTCTATTTTTTTGTGCACCAAGTTTGACTGAAATATATACGTTTAAGATATGTTATAAATGGTTTATTAGTAAAGTAAAATGTTATATTGTGCTGGTAGGATATCCCGTGTGAGATCTATGAATTAAGATACCTTCTTTCGTATTTCAGTAATGATGTCAGAAAGCTATGGTTTTTATTAAATATATTATGTTTTATTTTATGCATATTATAAAGGCAATTGTGCTATATTGTATAACCTGACATTCGCACCCTTTATTCTCCCGAAGAAGAATAGTCAACTATTCGAAAGCACTCGAATTTTGGGTCTCGTTTGAAAACATTACAACTTTTATAGGTGATCCTCTGTGCTAACTTCTTAACCAGAATTCGCGTACTGCTGTTATTTCCGTGTTTCGTTGATGAAGAGCAGCAACGCTGTAGCAATAGGCTTGAGAACAATTATAGAGGCTTGCAACAATACTCTGTTACTAGACGTGTAACAATACTGCAACGAACAGAATGAGTCAAAGATTAGCAAAAGAAAACCGAATGACATAATGAAGCCAAGAACAAATTCAAAAAGTCAAGTAAATAAAAGTTGGAAGAAAAAATCAGAAAATGAGATGAGAAACTAAGCCGTGTCTTATATGAAGAACAATGCATTAGATTGAATAAACACTTAGCAACAAAAAGAATGATATAGTAGTAGTTTGGTTGTTGTTAAGCGCAAAACTACACAATGTGCTATCTGTGCTCTGCCAGCCACAGTTATCGAACCCCGATTTTTAGCGTCATAAGCCTGCATATTTACTGCTGAGTCAGCCACTGGGGGAAGGAGGGGGGTCAATATTAGTGTAAATGGGCAGAAGAAGAAGACGAATGTAGGATACAACTCGGATCAAGTTAGACGAGAAACACACTAATTATAGTATTGAATCCCAAATAGATTTGACGAAAACGGAAATTATTTTTAAGTATTTAGCCTTGATGAAAATTTGTTACTCAGGCAAATATTTAACTGCATCGTGGTGATGCAATGGTTACATGTCAGTAACTGCAACTTGACCTAGAAAAGTAGTATGTCAAATTATATTAGGTACTTCCAAGCAGAGCAGCACCTTATTCCGCACAGCAGTTCAGGGACCCGAAGGTTCAAGTATGACCGTATCTAACTTGGAACTGCTAATCAAAGGAAGGGCAATTAGTCAACAGCACCATCCGCCTACACGGCTATCCTTTGTCGAAAATGGGATTGAATGTAACTTTTATAACCATCCCACAACTGAATGTTTAACGATATTTCGTAGTAAGTTGAGGAGTTGTTTTTAAAGTGTTCCCAATAAAAATAAGTCTATATCTTTTCACCTGGTTTTAATTTTTTTTAAATATTGACTTTATTTTTAGCTACGGAAGTGCGCACTCTGAACGAAATATAAGAAAATACACATTTAGTATAGAATACATTCTACATACGCTCGTAAAAAAAGTGTTACTTTTTAGTTTGAGAACTTTTTTTTCAAAAGTATGTAAAGTCGTTTTACTTTAATTTTTGAATTCACCTACAGAAGAGCTCGTATTTTCACAAAACAAATAGCAAATAATTAGTTTTATTATTAAAAATAGCTTAAACTTGCTAAATATTTTTTTACTATTATTATAAGTATCTAACACAATAAGTTATGTCTTTTTACCCTAAATAAAATTAATATTGCTTTAGGTAAACTAATTAACCAGTTGGAAAAACTTTAACAAAAAAGGGTTAACAATTTTTTTCGAAAGCAGAATCTCAAATCAAAGAGAGATAATGATACAGTGTATTCATGTGATAGAAGCAGAAAAGTAAATCATATAACAAAATTATTTGTTCGTATATATTAGCTAGTTTAGAGCAAGTGAGTACTTGTGTTACTTGTGTGACGTATTCGTAAAAGCTGAAAAGTTTAGTAAGTTGTTCTCTTGAGGAAAATAGAAAAACAGGGGGAAAAAAAGGAGAGAAACTCACCGTGTGTTTTAAAAATAACCAGACCATAAGGAAAATGTATCCAACAATATTTTGTCCGCTAGGGCTCTCTCAGCGAAGTGTAGAAGCACGAACGTGACATTTAAACCTACCTTGTTCTAGATTCTAGTAAGCCAGTTGCTATAGGAAATATGCACAATGGTTCAATTTTTACTTGTTCTGTACGCGATTTGTCAGTTTCATGTTGTGTTACGTGTAATATCTTCGTTTATCCGCAGTTCTGATACACCATCTATTTCTATTTTCCTTTGTTGATAGTAAATAAATTACGACAAAAGAAAATATTTGTAGAAGTATTTATGCATCAGAATGAATTATTCATATTGACATGCTCACAATAACACACTATGTAAATATATACATATTAAACTTCCATCCTGAATGTAAGGTTATTTTTGTGTGGATACTATTTTTTTAATTGGTGTAATATGTGTTAACTCTTAAAAAGCCTTCATCTTAAACTCTCAGTATTAATGTTTGTTTTTTTTTAGTTCTCAGAGCAATACAGGCTTCATTCATTCCGATCATCTGGTCTTGTTATTTTGTTATTATGCACATTTTGGTAAGACTAAATTTCCCATTGTAAAATCAAAATTTCCTCTAGATCTTTGTCATTTCCTACAGTTACTTTAACATCGACGTGTAAAATATCGCACCGTTTAAAGTGTGTAAAGAAGTAACTTGCCACTCAACGAACAAAAAGAGAAAAGAAAAAGGAATAAGTTCTTTAGTTGATATTTGTTTAATGTGTGATCCTGTGGTGGATAAACAGTTCTATACTTCATATTTGTTTAACACGTGTTCCTATGGTGGATAAACAGTTCTTTGGTTGATATTTGTTTAACGTGTGTTCCTGTGGTGAAGCAACAGTTCTATACTTCATATTTGTTTAACGTGTATTCCTGTGGTGAAGCAACAGTTCTATACTTCATATTTGTTTAACGTGTGTTCCTGTGGTGAAGCAACAGTTCTATACTTCATATTTGTTTAACGTGTATTCCTGTGGTGAAGCAACAGTTCTATACTTCATATTTGTTTAACATGTGTTCCTATGGTGGATAAACAGTTCTTTATTTCATATTTGTTTAACGTGTGTTCCTGTGATGAAGCAACAGTTCTACACTTCATATTTGTTCAATGTGTGTTCCTGTGGTGAAGCAACAGTTCTTTATTTGATATTTGTTTAATGTGTGTTCCTGAGGTGACGAATCAGTTATTTGCTTGATGTTTCTTTAACGTGTGTTCCTGTGGTGAATAAACAGTTCTTTACTTGATGTTTGTTTAACATGTGTTCCTATGGTGAAGAATCATTTCTTTACTTGATAATTGTTTAACTTGTGTTCCTGTGGTGAATAAACAGTTCTTTACTTGATGTTTGTTTAACGTGTGTTCCTGTGGTGAAGAATCAGTTCTTTACTTGATAATTGTTTAACGCGTGTTCCTGTGGTGAATAAACAATTCTTTACTTGATATTTGTTTAACGTGTGTTTCTTTACTTGATGTTTGTTTAACGTGTGTTCCTATGGTGAAGAATCAGTTCTTTACTTGATAATTGTTTAACAATTATCAAGTAAAGAACTGATTCTTCACCACAGGAACACACGTTAAACAAAAATCAACTAAAGAACTGATTCTTCACCACAGGAACACACGTTAAACAATTATCAAGTAAAGAACTGATTCTTCACCATAGGAACACACGTTAAACAAACATCAAGTAAAGAACTGTTTTTTCATAACAGGAACACACGTTAAACAATTATCAAGTAAAGAACTGATTCTACACCATAGGAACACACGTTAAACAAACATCAAGTAAAGAAACACACGTTAAACAAATATCAAGTAAAGAATTGTTTATTCACCACAGGAATACGAGTTTAACGTGTGTTCCTGTGGTGAAGAATCAGTTCTTTAGTTGATTCTTGTTTAACGTGTGTTCCTGTGGTGAAGAATCAGTTCTTTAGTTGATTCTTGTTTAACATGTGTGCCTTTGTTTTTTCATGTTGCACTAACATAAAGTCAAGCACACAAACTGCTTCGGGCTCTAATGCTGTAAATGTCCTATTTCTACATAGCGATGCACGTGTAGAAACCTCCGTAAACTATAAGACTTATTTATTATCAAGCTTTACATGACGTAGCAACTTCGCAAATTCAAGGTGGAACCTATGTTGAGGAAACATTCTCGAAACAATTACTTCTGTGTATTAATGGCACAGTAAAAAAATATCTCGTAGGAAAAGAGCAGTTGTAAAAACTCTATAGATACGTACAGAGTAATGTCTATTTTCGTTATAACTTAGGGGGTTTGTTTACATGTACACTTCCTCGAAACTATAGATATTCTCAACACACTTGGGTGTGGCGAAGTGGGATGCTATGTTTTAAGAACTTCAGATTATTCTAACAGTGGGGTTTCACAACACCCTACATAATATGAAACACAGTCAAGTGAGAAACAACAAAA